GGCCGAGACTGGACACATGCCACTTCTGGTTGCTATCTTCTTCTCGAGCTCGGCCAAAGGTCTTGCCACAAGCAAAGCAAGAGAGCACTTGCATAAACTTGCAGACTGCGCCTTGTAGCGTTATGGCCGGGACATCCCCGCCTAGCAACGCAGACACACGCCGCGTGTCACCCGGCACAGCTCCAGAAAATCCTCAGCGTTTGAGCCGGCAGTAGCTTGGTCATCCAGGGCCTTCATCTCTGTCGTGTCCAGCGCGCCGCATGCTCCCAAGATGGCCAACGCAGGGCTTTGCTCCATGCGCCCAACGCCGCTCCATTCCGGAACAAGCTTGGTTCTGAACGTCAGCTCCAGCCCTGCTCCATCTCCGAGAACTAAGTTACAAATGCTGGCTGCACAGTGGACTCCACCAGCTTGGCCGGGTTCATCTTGGAGTTGGTGCTTCTGGTTCGCAGATTGGTGTTCACATATGTTGTGAACGACCGGCGGCCGTCATTCCAACGCACGCCGCTGGCAACAACTTCTGGCTCGCGTTCACTCAGCTCCAGCAGCACTGTATTCAACTGGCCGGGTTCGTGAACTGCTTCCTTCCAAGTTGTCAAGTTCAGCGAAGTAGGTTGCCAGGAAAAGGCTTTGTGGAAACCAGTCAGCCAAAACCTTGGAGCTCGCAGCCCCCCCCAGCACGCCTGCTTGGCTGTGTGTTTGCTCGTCCCTCTCTGCGAGAGGACCAGACCAAGCCAGGAAGCCCCTTTGCGATTCGCAAAACGGCTCTTGTTCATGGGACCCCCAAAAAGAAAGCGTCAAACACGGCGGCGGCGTCAGCAACTCTATTAGATTATACAGCCACCGAACATATGTCGAAACATGGCCATGACCGCGTGTCCTTGTTGCAATCGCCACATTGAGCACCAGAGCCGCCATTCCGTAATGTTGCTGGGGAGTTCGCCACGCACGCAGAGTGCCCAGCAGCACCGAAACTTTTGCGGGTCGGAATCGATGTTCAAGGCGTAGCGGAGGCGAAGCTGTGCAATGTCGTCCAAGAAGAAATGGATGGGCCATGTCTGTAGCACGTATTGATTCGGTGAGCGATAGTCTTGATGCTATCGACACATCCCTCCAGCTTGGTTTCCCGACAAGCCACGTATGCTGCGAGCAGGTAAATCAGAATCTTGCCTGGAGCTGCCAAATTCAAGTCGAAATCTCGGAAAAGAACGTTGAGTGCGAGAATGAAATGGAATTGCTCGCATTTCCAAAAATACTCACTGCGGGAGGCTAGCGCAAGAGAATGGCACCTTACGACGTCCCGCCGTGAAAACCCTTGAGCCCTCGCACTTGCAAGCCCTGCGCACTTTCGGACTCGTGCAAAACAGCAGCGTCCATATTGCAGAATATGTGGAAAACAAGGCTGAGAAATCTGTCGACCCTTCTGTCAGGAGGCAACGAGATATGTCAAAGCTGCGACCTTGGCATCACGAAGGTGTGAAACGCTTCAGCAAAATGCGTTTGTCATTGGGACTGGATTACGTAGGAAGCGCAGCTAGCGAAGCGAAAGACTGGATATGATTTTGGCCGGGCCACATGGCTATCCAGCTGAGAAGGTGCTAAATACTGGCAACAAGATAGGAGGCAAGGTTTAAAACAGCACTGCCAACAAGAAAGGGTGCTCGAACTACAGTGATGCTACCAAGAGGAGACTAGAAGATAAGCGGCCCGAAAGCATGAGCAGCGCACGGCGCCAAGTAATCCTAGCAAGCTTTCTGCGCAAGTTCCTCTGAGCAAGTTGTTGGCGCGAGTTCCTTTGAGCAAGTTCCCCAAGCAAGTTCTTGGCACAAATTATTTGAGCAAGTTCTCTCAGCAAGTTTCTGTGAACAAGCTTCAATGCTGCAACTTGCTAGCGCCACTTGCTGGTGCTACTTGCTAGTGCCAGTGGCTAGCGCTACTGGCTCGTGCATTTCGCTAGCGCTATCTTGCTCGTGCTACTGGCATGCGCCATTTTGCTAGTGGCATTTTGCCAGCGCAACTCGCTAGTGCTACTTGCTAACGCAACTTGCTTGCGCAACTTGCTGGTGTCATCCGCTGGAGGTCTTTCCTGCCGCGCTCCTGCATCCCTAGCATCATCAGCCTAGAGCCCCGCTTCATACGATTTTGGCCAAGATGGTGGCTGACCGCACAAGCCCTCTAGTTGCCTCGCTGGTAAATTGCTTTCTGGAGCCGTGCCCCTTCTCCATTCCAAGGGTGCGTTGACCGGGGCAAAACTGTCAGCGAAACCGTCGACTTCTCTGTGGCTCATCCTCATCATCCTCCTCATCCTCCGGTCACTTGGCTGGCTTCTCATCACAAGGATGCGAACCAGTCAGTTAAGGCCACTTGGCTGGGCTCTGCGCAGCCAAGCTACAGTTGACCAAGAAGTGCGGCACTGGCTTCTAAAAAGCAGCTCAGTTTCTTGAGCAAAGCAATCAGGCGGATGTCACGGTATTTGTTTGTCGAGAACAACAGTACATATTTCACGCGGCAGCTCTCTGCTGATGCGCCAGAAGGATGCAAACCTGCACTTGGCCAACAAGTGCGGCGCTGGCTTCCAAAAAACATCTCACAATCCTGAGCAAAGCAATCAGGCGGATGTCACGGTATACTGGTTTATCAAAATGGACACATTTAATGCTCGACAGGGCTCTGCTGATGCGCCAGAAGGATGCAAACCTGCACCTGACTGAAAAGCGCAGCACTCGAATCGAAAAAGCAGCCCAGAATCCTGAGCAAAGCAATGAGGCAGATGAGAACAATATTACACATTTAAGACTTGACAGGGTGCGCCACAAGGATGCAAACCCAAGAAGTGCCTCCAAGAAGCAGCTCAGAATCCTGAGCAAAGCAATCAGGCGGATGTCACGGTATTTGTTTATCGAGAACAGAAGTACACATTTAAGGCTTGACAGGGCCCTGCTGATGCGCCACACAAGGATGCAAACTTGCACTTTACCAAGAAGCGCGGCGCTGGCTTCCAAAAAGCAGCTCAGAACTGAGCAAAGCAATCAGGCGGATGTATATTCGTGTATCGAGAACAAAATCGACACATTTTAAGGGCACTGCTGGTGTGCCACAAGGATGCAAACCTGCAGTTGACCAAGAAGTGCGGCGCTGGCTTCCACAAAGCAGCTCAGTATCAGCCAGATGTCACGGTATGTGTTCAGCTGATGCGTCACAAGGACGCAAACACAATTGGCCAAGAAGTGCAGCGCTGGCTTCTAAAAGCAGCTCAGTTTCCTGAGCAAAGCAATCAGCCGAATGTCACGATTTGTTTGTTTATCGAGAAAAAAAGACATATTTAAGGCTCGACATTGCTTGCTTCTAGCTCCAACGATGCTCCACAAGGATGCAAACCTGCGCTTGGACAAGAGAGACGCACATCCTTTGCACACAGGCTAACAGCAAAATCTGCGACATGCTTCCTTTCTCCTCGCGAAACATTGTTGCAAGTGGTTCCTGCTGACTTGTGGAATGTATGTTTCTAGCTTGATGCTTCCCAGTTGCGCTTGCGAGCTGCTACCACGTGAGCCGAAGGGAGCCGAAGGGAGCCGAACGCCGGTTACTGGATGCCAAGCAAGCCAGGTCAGCCTCACAGGTTCAGTTGCCCGGGACCTTCATTTTGATGACCAGACCGTGAATTCACCACCACCTTCAGTGAGCAGTGCAACCGCATACAGCAACTCTGGCAGCGCAAATGTGAGTTTTAGCAACCGGTGCATCAGCTTCCAGCAATCAGCCCTGTTTGGACTTCCTGTTGAAAGCAGAAGCAGCTTCAATTGGTTTTGCCCGGGACCCTGTTGAGGGCTGTAAGCATTAAGACACAGGCAGCCGGCGTCACAGCATCTGGCCACAGCCGCAGAGACACAGGGAGACAAGCGCAGAGACACGACCCCGGAGCCGCAGGCGCAGTCTGGCATCTGACCGCAGAGACTGGGAGATACAGGAGACAAGCGGGAGACACGACCCCGGAACCGGCGTCACACTTTCCCATTCTCTATACCTCACGTTAGAACCCCAATGCGGCGCTGTTTGGGGAAAAGTTTTTTGATATCCTTCCCAGTTTACGCTTGTTCCTATTGGAACACTGCTTACTCTACTTAAGGTCATTTACATTTTCAACGCACATTTGACCTTCTGAGTCGGAGTAGATCCAGCCAGGGAGGGACCTACAAGGTGTATCTGGGAATCTTTGGGGCCTATCTCCAACTTCAGGTGGAAGGGAGAGGACAGGCGAGGGTTTGGAGAGGAGATAAATTTGAAACCAACGCTAACAACAGTGATTCCCCCGACCGTTCCCAAATGGGCTTTTCTAGAACCAACGCAGTCCAAAAACACGTCACAGATTTCTGTTGTTTAAATCCCTCACTCACAAATTGCCTTTTCGAACGGTTTTAGGAAAGGGGACCGGCCTCATGTGGACAAGAGCCGAAGAGGACAGACCAGAACTCGGGCCCTGTAAGAATAAACATGTTTTTTTCTTTGGGGGAACATGGGTACTGGGCGGGGCCAAGGGGCTATTATTAGTTGGAAGGGAATAGCTTGCTGACAGACCGGTTGGCAAAACTAGCGCGGGCCCGCGAATAAAGGAAACCCGCTAAACGTCAAGGCGCGCACGCACATCGGTTCGGTCACCCTTGTGCCTTGTGCGGTTTGTTTGCGTTTGGGGCACTGCGAACAAGTTTATAGACAGAATACTGTCGATATTTGTAGTTCGTCAAAATGGGGTTTGTCGATTTTTCGGAATTTGCGCTTTGCCAAAACCGCGTTCGCGGTTTCAAACCCAGAGCCTCAAACGGGTTCCTTCCGGGTCCGAAGGCATGCCGTTTCCTTTTGCCGCCTTTCTCCGCCCTCTTTCTGTCGTTCGCAATTTGGATACCCGTTTTGGGCTCAAGCTGGAACAAACGCCACACCTTTTGTGTTTTTCAACCGTTTCCTTTTTGCAAAACGGTGTGTGTTTTTGACATATATAAGGCTCCATGGCAATGGCAAAGTCCCTGGTGGCGTTCTTTGCAGCCTGGGCAGCAGTGGCTTGGGCAGAGGCACACGCAGAAACACAGACTGAAGTCACACAGTTTTGAGTCGCTTGAAGCTTGCTTTCAATTTTTCAGGCCATCGAACTTGATTTGCCAGACGATTGCGAGGGTTGCCAGGGCAGCCAGGCAGCACCGGAACATTCTGAAAGTATGTTTCCCTGTAAAACCTGTTCGCTTCGAGTGGAAGCTGAAATGGGAAACACAGATGTGTCACATGATCTATGATAAGGTCTGAACCTTCTTCAAAGGAAAGCATCGCAGGTACGCACTGCCAGTTGCTTGTGCATATGTATGGGCCGCAGGATGTTGCATGTGCTTGCTTTGTCCGTTCCCAAGGACGCAAAAGCCAATGAAACCTTACATTGGCAAGGCTGGTGGACTTAGGATGCCCATGTCACCCATTGCATTGAAGACAGTGTCAAAGGAGCGCGTTTTCATCTACATGCTTGCCAATACTTGCCAATACTTGCCAATACTTGCCAATTGCCAAGCTACATGTCTCATCTTTTGGTGCTGACAGTGCTAACTTGGCAAGGTGCTCGAGAAACAGGCGCCCGGGCACGCAAGGTTTCAGATGTTGTTTTTAGGAGGCTCTTTGTGGCAAGAGGTGAGAAGAAAATCAGGAGAAACTTGAAGCAACTTCAATTAAAACAAGCGGATTCAACGTTTTTTTCTTCATATTTTGTGTTTTCCTCTTTTCCTTTGAGAGCCTCAGGCAATATTTGCATGTGGTCCAACTGCGAGCCGCATTTGGGCCCTACGGAGTGTTACCACTTCCGCTGTGTGTGCCGCACGGACTTCGTCTACTCCGAGTTTGTGAAGCAATGCGTCCATCGCTACACCCCCGAGGGCATGAAGGTCGTGTCGCCCCAGGACACTGGCGCCACATGCCACTTGGAAGCTAAGACAAATGGAATGGAAGACGAAGGCCAGGCCAGTAAGGCCTGCGCATCTGCCACATTTGCCACACACCCGCTGATGCCCCAGGCTTCTTCAATGACTGCCAAGCCAAGTTTACAGTTTGCTCTGACAGCAAGCACCTTGCCCACCAGTATTGAGTCAAGAGATGTCAAGAGACAGTTGTTTTGGGAGCACCTAACTTCCCCGAGGTGCCTTTGCATTCCTGGCTTCATTTACTTCGCAGATCAAGGCGTGTGCAACATGCGCTTTGGCATTGACATGTCAAACAGTTGAGAGAGTTGATCTGAATGGTAGGATCCTATGGCGGCTGCCAGCGGGACCCGAACCTATTCCCGCCTAACCAGGTTTGGTCACCCAGCGATGACCTGCATAGGTGGCAGGACGGGTTTGACCGTCACTTCACCTGTATTGGACACTCTCTGGGCAGGAGCAGCAACAGCAGCAACAGCAGCAACAGCAGCAGCCGCCGTCACCGCCGCCTCAACAAGAACAACAAGATCATCAGACAGCGTCCAGTTCTTCTTGCACCAGTCACCCAGCATGCTCGGGCTGGATTCTGAGAGACGCCAAGAGATGCTGAGTGCGAGAAGTCAGGTTTTGGACCTTTGAGCCTGCGTTTGCTCAGGCTTGGCAGGAAATTGCTGCTAGGGCCCTGGCAGGATCAGATTTGCATTGAAGCAGTTATAGCAGTCCGCATTTCCCGTCCCCAAATTGCCTTGGACATGTACACATCCTGGTACACTTTCAGAGAAAATTGAAAGCTTTATGACTTCATATGACTTCATATCTTCAAGCGTTTAAGAATAGAATCTCATCGCCGGCAGCTTGGCCGTCCACCGGTTTGGAAAGGGCCAACCCACCTCTCACTCAAACGCGCCAAGCCCACATTTGAATCGTGCGCTTGGCGAATCTCAATTCTGATCCCAAAATGTATTGTTCTACAATGTTTGCAGAGTTAAAGTTAAATCAGTCAATCGGATTTGGATTTTTTTGGACTTTCTTTGGATACTAGAGTATTTGGATTCCTTCGAGTTCTTATTTCAAAGTCCAAAACCCCATCTCTCCGTCTTATTGGCAACGGCCCCATTGCTTGCCATTCAGGTCCCAACGACTTGGGCTTGAGCCTGTCTTGCTGCTTGAGTCGGTAGTGCGAACTCTTGCGTTCAAGTTGCAGGTGCGAAGCCATTGGCAACTTGCCCGACAGTTTCACCGAGACATGCGTAGCCTGAGAATCGATTGCCAACGGTGACGTCGCTTGACATTTGACTCTCCCAACTCTGTTTGATCCCGACGTCGATCCCGACATTTGGGCTCGAGACCCAATTTTGGAGAGCGCCTGGCTAGCGCCGGTGCCTGAGGCCCCGAGAGAGACAGAAAACCTGAGCCCCGAAGCCGACAGACTTGCCAAACGCTGTATTTTCTTTCGCGGCTCGGACAACATGTTTGGGCATCGTTTTTTTTGCGACGCGACAAACCAAAGACGTGCTGCAGGTACACCAGCTTGCCACGCGCCGTGTCACTAAAAGAACGCAGCAAGACTTGGCTTCCGTTCGAAAAGGCTGGCTAAAGAGCCAAAGACAGTGTGCCGCGTATTTTTCCGCTGCGTTTTCGAAATGAAGCGAGCCCCCACGTAAAATAATGTAAATCCCACCCGCAGCACTAGTTCGTGTGAGTGTTCGCCATAGCCTGTCTTCCCTCGGTCCAGTCGAATGTGAGATGCGGATGTTTTCACGCATCCTGCGCGACAATACTAGAGTGGCCGGCAAACAAGTTGGAAACATAGGGAACTCCGCGCACTCGGCCCCATTCCATGGATGCAACAGAGACTTCCTACGACCAGAAGCATGTTCACAGAGTAGGCCTGTCGTGCGACACGGTTGGAGCATTTCATGCTCGAACACGCAGTAGCCGCTGAGATTGTCGAACTGTGTTTGCCGCTCGCTCTCAACTGCAGGAGACGCAAACCAGATGGGCACACTCGCCTGCAACAGCGCGGTTCCGACCGGAATATGACTCTTATGGCCAAGATCAAGCCAAGCAGGCCAAAGATGGCCAAAGCGACCTCGATGTGAGCACAAAGGAAACAAGTGGCAAGGCTGGAATCAAGCAAGCTACCAAGAGTGAACGGACTACAGTCGATGGCCTGAGTTTCAGCCGCGCAACCACCAAAAAATATGGAACTGGCGACGGTTCCAATTTCCAAAGCACATGAATGAGTCTCTTCCCCCTAATGCCAAACGGCCCCCCCCTAATACTAAGCGGGTCCCCCCCGGAAAAAACACGGTTTAGCATTAGGGGCCCCCCTTGTTCCCGGAGCTCCGGCTCGAAGTCGCAACTTTGTATTGCAGCCGTAGCAAAGAAAACGTGCTCCCGGAGCTCCGGCTCGAAAGTCGCAACTTTGCCGCGCGACCCTGAGATTCGCGTGGTCGAGGTTCAAAAACTGAGGATTTTTTACGATTTCTGCAAGCCGCGCGCGACCCTCTGCGGTCGCTGTGGCGCCGTGCGAATTTGTCTTAGTCTCGGCGAACCCTCGGCGGAGATTGTGCGTGTCGAAGCGCTCTCGCTGTGGCGCCGTGCAATATTCTTGCTCGCGAAACTGCCTTTGGAAGTCGTCTCGTGGTTTGCGCGCCTGCTTTCGCAATCCCGCGGTCGCGGGTTCGATTCCCCCCTGGTCCGCGGCAGCTCCGGCTTGAAAATCGCAGCTTTTAAGTACTAACGTAGTACGCGGAGCGTGCTCCTGCAGCTCCGGCTTGAAAATCGCAACGTAGTACGCGAGCCGTACTCCCGGAGCTCCGGCCCGAAAGTCGCAACTTTGTATTGCAGCCGTAGTAAAGAAAACGTACTCCCGGGCCCCCCTAATAGGACTGGATTTGGGCACGGGCGGGAAAATACCTACTTTAGAATTGGTTTAGTATTGGCTACGCTAAAAGTAGGATTTCCGGATTTAGGGTTTTCAAAAAGTGGCTTTAGTATTAGGGGACTTTTAGCATTAGGAAGAAGGGATTTCTTTTCCCGAGCAACGCGTTGAATGAAAACAACATATTGGGCAGTGGAAATCCGATGGCGCCACGATACCATCAATGCAACCTCGACAGCTTCAATTGAAGATCTGCTGCCCTGTGCTTCATCTCGGGTGTTTTTGACGAGGGCGGTGTGAGTGTTTCACACCGTTTCAGACAGCAATGACTGTCTCAAGCTATCGCTGACCAGGGCAAGAGATTTGTCAAGAGAATTGAAGGCTGCGGAAACCGTTGTGTGTAGTGCTCCTTTGTTTCATCATATGGCAAGACAGTCCGACGCTGGAGGCGCGAAGAAACATTGTGTTTGTCTTGGGCTCTTTGATTATGCACTTTGCTCTCAACAACTACCTTTCGGTCATCCTCACACTCACCCAGCATGCGTGCGTGCAGGAAAAGGCTGCGGTTCCTCACCCTTCACTTGATTCTTCCACACCTGTTCATGGATAGGCGCACAGACAATAAGAGCACCATCCTCAGCCCCCTCCCGCTCGCCCGGCCTACTTAGCTCAACGCGCGCAAGACTAGCTTATAAACGAGATAGAAAGGTCATGAATTCATTGCTGCTGCGAGTTCGAAATGACTTTGTGCAACCAAAGCTTCTCACCCGTAAAACATGTGCAACAACAAGCTCCCTAGCTACAAAACAACCTAAACCCTAAACCCTAAACACTAGAGCTTTGCGCACCAACCCTGTTTTCAAGAAAATATTTTTTGGGTAGTTAGGGTGTAGAAGGTAGGCCCTGCAGAGGGGGGGTGAGCATACCTGGGCTGTAGTGGGCCTGGGTCTTTTTTGCTGTGGGACACAGACGTTGGCACAGGGACGTTGCGAACGTGGTATTGGCAGAGAGTGTTGAACAATCGAAAGCAAGCGAGGTGATGCAAGATGCGCGATATCCAGGAGCTTGCACGAGTCTCAGTGCGATTGGCGAGGCTTACGAGCGCGCGTAGCAAGTTCAGGTTTGCCGCGAGCTTGAAGACTTGGACGAGGAGGACTCCAAATTTTGGTTGTTGACACTTCGCAGTGTCGATTGCAGCGTGTGTCTTTGACTGTTTTGAATCATGGTTTGTGAGTCTGATTTAATTAATCTCCAAGGACCTGCTCGACTATGTGTCGGAGGGCGACGGAGAGCCCTTAGACTCGCTGGAGGAAGGGTTGCGTGAGAGCTCTCACACTTGACGACACTTGACGACACTTGACGACACTTGACGACACTTGTCAGATTTGAACGCGTGGTGAGGCGCCGCTGACACTTGACGAGAGTTTCAAGTGCACCATTTTCGTTGCTGGAGTTCCAAAGGCCCCGTGAGGCGTTGTTCGGAATTCGGTTGCGTTCCTCGAGGTTCCGAAAGAGAAGTACGATCGTCTCATGGGGGTTCTGTCCAAGGTTTTCAACAAGCGGCCTGGCCCACTGGCTACGGGTGAACGTATCCTGAGTTTCATCGCACGCGGGCTTCGTGTAGGCAAAAGACATGGTGAGCCAAGGTATGGGGAGAACGAGAAAGAAATGCCGTACAATGCTGAGGGAACCGAGACAGAGGCTTCTGGGCTGTTCCGTATAATCAATGCTTTGCCTCTTCTCAGATTCAGTCAGCTCCCTCCTATTTTCTGCAGTTTGACATGACTTGACATATCTTGACATGCAATTCATGCAATTCACATCCGTAGACGCAGTTCACCTATTTAGCGAATTGCAGAGGGCTGTGTCATCGTGACCTTCAAGCGTCCAGAGGAGGCCTCAGCGGTGGGCGACTCAAAGAGCCTGACAATTGCGGAAATATGCGAACATATGCTTGGCATATGCGAACATATGCGAACATATGCGAATGTAGACGCGGATTTGCTTGGCATTGCTGTGACTTGCTGAGGCGCAGCAAGCCTTGGACGGCATGAGCTTGGACAAGAAGCACACGCGCCTTGCTTTGCACATCAATGCAAAGCACAAACCGTTGGACCAGCCCGTCCAGCGCTGTCAGGTTCAAAGTGGTGAAGTTTGACGATTTCAACCGAATCACTCACAGGGAGGATGTGGCTCGCACAAATGTCAGAGTGGGTCCAGCAAATGTATTTCTACTGCGAGGAGTTCAGGCCTCAACGGAATCTGGCCTCATACTCTCGAGCAGATTTCCGATCTTGGCTAATGGACAAAAAGTGCAGGGAACAGCGAGGACCTCAAATCAGGCTGGTAGAAGTCAGCAAACGCAGTAGCGTGCCCAGGTTTTTGCTGCGATATCAGACAGAGACGGTTCCTGGCCTCACTTGGACAGCAGCAAGCGCAGATGTGCGTTCTCCAGCTGTGCAAGGAGATCTACTGGCACGACACCACCATAGGCAGGCCTACGCGATACCCGTTCGTTCCATCGCATTTCGTTACGCGGCACACAGACCCACGCGGGGTTGTAGTACTTTTTTAGCTTAGCAGTCAGCGCGTGTAGCGTGCGGCTCTGTTTGCAAGTTTCACTTGGCCAACACTTGGCTCGAGCACAAGGATAGTAAAAGGGCCGCCCGGCTGCCCTAAGTCTATTTTGGTAGATTTATTGAGAATACCAGCAAAGTTTACCAGGAATCCAACATTCGTAGAAAGTATTTGAAGCATAGCAGAATCCTTGAAACATATTGTAAATTACACAGCGTGTGTTGAAACAGTTCGGGGAAGTACTTGCAATGTACGGGCTGTGTCGAACGTGGGCCAAGCCAAAAAATAGGAGCAACCCTCTACGACAAAGTTGTGGCCGCTTTATTACATGAGTCTCTTAGTTTTCCGTGAGCGTGTCATATAAATGAGGGCGGGGTTCTTATCTGAGCTTTTGTGTTTAATAGAGCCCCTGTGTGGGAAGTAAACTCACACGCGTGTCATGTTGACAAGTGTCACGTGCGGCGAAGCGCTGCAAAGTGTGGCACGTTTCTTTCGTTTGTTTTTGCTTTGAAATGAGCCCAATCATGTCGCACGCGTTTGCTCGTGCGGCAAACACGCGGTTTCCAGAAAAGCTCCCTATGCTGTGGGTGCAAACCACGTGTGTTGGAGCAGGGTTTTCATCGTAAACGAAACGACAAGTCGCTATAATTTGCCGACCACTAGCTTTGCGCGGCGGGCTTTGGGCCAAGTGTTTGACGGTGTAAAATTTGAGAACCTGCTTAGTGCTTCAACCATGAAGCCTCCCAGCTCCAGCAAGTTCGACATCCAGTAGATCCTCCGGGAGTTATGTCCGGTTGTTTGCGACTTTGCAGTGTTTTTCCTCAAAACCAGGGTTGTTACCCAAGCTTTTACCTCGCGTATCCCTTATACAAACACATTGTAGACAAGCAGGCCTTCGGCCTGTAATTGCAATGCTTGCGGCTTTCCAATTGTTCAGAAACTACTTGATGCCACCCTTAAAACTCATCAACAAATTATGCATCATGACAGCTTGTGCCTGATTTTGCACAAGTTAAAGTTGAGGCACATGTGAAGCCTCCAAAGCGGGTGAGAAAAATCAATTTTCTTGACCCTTTTTTGACCCCACACCAGAGTGGCGGTCAACCACAACAGGAAAGCGTGAGCGCATGGATGCATGCGATTGTTTTCATGGCGCATGGCGCTGGTGATTTTCAAATTGGGAATGTGAACAGCTTGGACCATGAATGAATGAATGAATGAATGAATAAATGAATGAATGAATGAATGAATGAATCAGTGAAGGAATGAAGGAATGAATGAATTAATGAATGAGTGAAGGAATGAAGGAATGAATGAATGAATCTGTGAAGGAATGAAGGAATGAATGAATGAGTGAAGGAATGAAGGAATGAATGAATGAATGAATGAGTGAAGGAATGAAGGAATGAATGAATGAATGAATGAATGAATGAATGAGTGAAGGAATGAAGGAATGAATGAAGGAATGAATAAGTGAATGAGTGAAGGAATGAAGGAATGAGTGAAGGAATGAAGGAATGAATGAATGAATGAGTGAATCAGTGAATCAGTGAAGGAACGAAGGAATGAATGAATGAGTGAAGGAATGAAGGAATGAAGGAATGAATGAGTGAAGGAATGAAGGAATGAATGAAGGAATGAGTGAATGAGTGAATGAGTGAATGAGTGAAGGAATGAAGGAATGAATGAATGAATGAATGAATGAATGAATGAATGAATGAATGAATCAGTGAAGGAATGAAGGAATGAAGGAATGAATGAATGAATGAATGAATGGGTGAAGGAATGAAGGAATGAAGGAATGAATGGGTGAAGGAATGAAGGAATGAATGAATGAATGAAAGAATGAATGAATGAGTGAGTGAAGGAGTGAAGGAATGAATGAATGAATGAGTGAAGGAATGAAGGACATAATGAATGAGTGAAAAAATGAAGGAATGAATGAATGAATGAGTGAAGGAATGAAGGAATGAAGGAATGAATGAGTGAAGGAATGAAGGAATGAATGAATGAATGAGTGAAGGAATGAATGAATGAATGAATGAGTGAAGGAATGAAGGAATGAATGAATGAATGAATGAATGAGGGAATGAATGAATGAAGGAATGAATGAGTGAATGAATGAATGAATGAGTGAAGGAATGAATGAATGAATGAATGAATGAGTGAAGGAATGAAGGAATGAATGAATGAATGAGTGAAGGAATGAAGGAATGAATGAATGAATCTGTGAAGGAATAAGGAATGATTGAATGAATGAATGAATGAATGAATGAATGAATGAGTGAAGGAATGAAGGAATGAATGAATGAATGAATGAATGAATGAATCAGTGAAGGAATGAATGAAGGAATGAAGGAATGAAGGTATGAATGAAGGAAGGAATGAATGAATGAATGAATGAGTGAATGAGTGAATGAATGAATGAGTGAAGGAATGAATGAATGAATGAATGAATGAGT